CTTCTTCTTAAACAGTGCCTAGTAACATCTTGAGAGATTCTTACATCCTATGGGACACAATTCAGGCACCATCTTACCAAGCTGGCACCTCACTCATGAGTATACACTATCTTACAGCGTCAGGGCAAAAGCCTGTGTGGAATTGACTTGTATCAATGTACTAATCCATTAATCCTGCCTGGAACCACAAAATCCTTTTGTAAGATGGTTTCCTGAGATAAGGGCCCAGCTTGTGGCAGACAGAGAGTGAGGTAATGGGTTTTGGAGAATCCCGTCCACACGCTGTTCCCTCATTTGCAGCGCTATTAAGCCACTGGTTTGCTTCCGCCTTTGTCTGAAGTCCATCCACCATTGGCACATGGTTGTGGCCCCATTAAGTGTTTTCAAGGACACTGACTTACAGCACACAGCACGTAAACACAGAAAGAAAGCTGGCGACATAGACTGCCTTCTGGGTCCTGGGTCTTGTCTCTAGGTAGTTGGTGTCACCTGAGAAATCGACAGTGTTTCACGAGTATCCAGTCCTAAGCCCTCCTGTGTGTTGGAATCACCTGGTGTGCACCTCATCACTGTTGCTGTGAGAGAATACTGACCCCAAGCAAAAGTCTTTATTTGGTTTACCCGTCCATCGTTGAGGGAAGCGGGAATCACAGAGGAGTGCTTGCTGGCGGGTTCCTGGGATCATACTTACCCAGCTTTCTTGCCAGCTCGAGACCACCTTCCCAGGGATGACACTGTCTTGGTGGGCTGTGCCCCCCATGCAAGTTAAGACAACACCCACCCCCATACTTTCCTCCAGGCCAGTTAGATCTAGGCCGTTCCTCCGTTGAGGTTCTCCTCACAGATGACTCTAGGCTGTGTCAAGTTTACAGTCAAAGCTAACTCTCTTAAAGTGTTTTGGTTAATAAGTAATACATGCACATGTATTATTTGTGCCTAACAATGGGGTTCGATGGCATATTTCAATACAACTATATAATAGCGTGCTGATCAAATCCAGCCTCCCTTTACCCACCTTCCTCAAGGCCTTTGCCCTTCTGGGAAGCTTTAATTCCTGCTCTGCCTCTCATCCAGGCAAACCCCAAGGTTGGGAATGAGAGTCGGCACCATAGTTTTAAAGATCTGCAGTACTCCCAATGTGCAGAAAATCTGAATTGTGCTGCTTTAGAAGCATTTCACTATCCAGACACCTCAAGACAACTAGATCTCCCTGTGCTGGCTAGTCTTAGGTCAATTTGATACAGCTATAGTCATCGGAGAGGAGGGAACCTCAGTTGAGAAGATGTCTCCACAAGACACAGCTGTAAGGCATTTTCTTAGTGGCTGATGGGGAACAGCCCAGCTCATTGTGAGTGGTTCCATCCCTAGGCTGATGTCCTGGGTTCTATAAGAAAGCAGGCTGAGCAAGCCATGGGGAACAGCACTCCTCCATGGTCTCTGCATCAGCTCCTGCCTCCAGGTTCTTGCCCTGTTTGGGTTCCTGTCCTGACTTCCTTCAACAATGACCAGTGATATGGAAGTGTAAACCAAATCAACCCCTTTGTCCCCAACTTGCTTTTTGGTCATGGTGTCTCATCACAGTGATAGAAACCCTAATGAAGACACTCCCTCAGAGAAGCAGGGCAGCAATTCAACGATGCCTCATTTCATTAGTAACAACAGAGGCCCTAACAATTTAAAGAACACAATCCCTGCCACCATTACGCCACATTCCAGGACAGCGTCACTCCTTTGAGTCTGAACTCAGCATCTCAGACTAGATTCTAAAAACGTTGTGGTGAGAAATTGAGCGGGAACTGGGGGGCGCTCGCCTTGGACACCCAGTTGCTTGAACATGGACCTTGGTGTCTGTGGGAGAAACAAGCTGCTTCAGCGAGGCCTCCCACCCCTCCCATCAATGCTGTTTCTGTCTGGGGACTGTGGCTTTGCATCGCATTTACAGGAAGACAAAATAGAACCTTTTGTGCTGGACTGGAAGGAGATCGTGAAAGGCCACCGCTTGTCTTCGGACTTATGTCAACTATTTATCTCTTGTTGTTTTCAACAAGTCCTCCCCATGCATTTTGAGACTGTCTCAATCACTGGTTTTCTCCAGTGTTCCCAGTCCCTGTTGCAGCAGGTATGAGAAAAACCTGCTGCCCTCTGTGCTGTGGCACAGAAGCCCGGTGAGACAGTGTGAGGCACTGGGTGACACAGCACAGTAGTGCTAGGAGAGTATCCAATAGGAACCAGGCTCCATGGTTGCTCCAGATTCATTAATCAGAAATTTAGAAGCAAGGGTGAAAGGAATTATTCCCAGTCTCCTAAATATCACCATCTCCAAGTGTGTTTCCACCATCAGGCACTGAGTCCCTCTTTCACTGGAGGTGGACCGGAAGAGCTGGGGGGCCATTTGGATGCTCTCTGTTGGAGGAAACTTGGGATGGATGACTGTAAAGCTTGAGAACCTGGGGCTGGTCTTAGAAGGAAAACTAAGGTGCCTTAAAGTTTACTTTAAAATTATCCCAAGTATCTCTTTCTAGGTTAGAGGACTCTCTGGGCATTATTGGTTCTGGAGCCTCGAAAAACTATATTGATATTATTTTTTAAAGTGCCTTGCCACTGAAACTCAGTGGGGAATCCTACAAGACCTGGATCTAAAAGGTTTGACAAAAACTGGCTTTTGTCTTCTCTTTCCCTGCCCCCCCCCCTTATTTTTAATATGAACAAATCTCCAGGATACTATCATGTGTAGGTGTTTTGAATAAAGTGTTGAAATTCATGGATAATTTATTTTATGAAAACATCAGAATTTAAAGTTTCTGTTAATGGCTTACTCAAATCCCATAACAGTTCCTTGACTGGGAGGACAAAAGGTGTGGAAATGTGGACCCCTCCTATGTTAGAGGTGGGTGGTCCACATGTGAGCAGGTTGGCATTACCACAGCTCACTTCTGCTGCAGCTGACAGAAATGGCACCAACCGCTCATGCTGGGCACAGGGAGGTACTCAGTGTGGTCCGTGCATCGAGAGCATCATCATCATCCTCTGGAGGTATTTGTGGAAGCAAATTCTCGGGTCCTCCAAACAGATCCACTGGATTGGAACATCTGGGGGTTAAGGCTCAGGCTCAGGCTCTGCAGGTTATTCTCGGGATTATCAGAATTGGGAAGCACTGACCCTAGGCCAAGAGTTCTCAGGCTGTGGTGCCCAGTAACACCAACAACCCCCAAGAACGCATTAAAAATCATGCGCAGTGTGTTTTCACGGGTCTTTGGCGGGTGAGGGCTGAAAGGCTCCATGACCCTTCCCCAGACTTAAGGGCCACAGAGATGGAAAATCTGAGTAATAAATAATGAATTCATGGGGCAGAGGAGTGATGCCTCCTCAGCCAGTAACCTGCCAGCCATGCCAGTGTGAGGACCTGGATTTGATCTGCAGCCTCTGCTTGCTTGGGCAAGCTCTCCAGGTAGATGGACTAGTGAGGCTGAGAATCACTGACCATGGTGCCCACCAAGTCCTCCATCTTCATGAGCACATACAACATTAAGGCTTTCCGATTTCTGCCCCTCCTTAGGGACCCCCTAGGTGTCTCTTGGCAGCTGCCTGACCATCTCTGCCACTTCTGTCCCAGCTGCAGACTGGGAAGTGCAAGTCAGAGGGTGGGGCCCTGCAGTACTTGTAGGAACCAGACCCGGACTCTCCAGGACTGCCCAGTGTTCAGACTGTAAAGCCAGGAGATCTGAAAGCAGGACTCCTGAAGGATTGGTCATGGCAATGTAGGGAGCTGGAGCAGGGCCACACTAATGGGGAATTGGGACTCACCCCGCTCTCCCGGAAGGGACAGACCACAGGACTTAGGATCCTCAGGGTGGCTACTGATCACTTGTCAGGTCAGCTTTAGGAGGCCCTGGCTTTCACATTTTCCCAAAGCCATTTGGACCTGTGATAAAAAGAAAACTCTTAACAGTGAGAGAGAACGGAGCAGAAGAATACAGGAAGAGTCAGGGCATGGGGAGAGGGAGTCTGCTGTTGAGCTGGTAGAAAACACAACATACTTAGCAGACGCCATGGCTGCTGCTTATTCTGCTTCTGCCATAGTCATGTGAAGATCTTTGCATTTGCTTCCAGGATACAAGGAAGGGCTGGGGAGGAGGTGACATCCAAGGCCATACTTGGAGCTTCCATAGGTCTTACTTGGTAAAAGGCAATGCCAGGTGAGTTCTTCAGGCAGTGGAATACATGGCACATTCTTTGGTGATAGATCTGTTCCCAGACAAACTCCAGCTGCTCAATGTCCCCCAAGGAGCATGGGAATAGCTGTGTGCAGTAGTTCCTGTTCCCCAGGGGGATGTGTCCCAAGACACCTATGAGTGCCTGAAACAGTGTATAGCAATAAACTCCATATCTTCTATGTATGAGTACCCATGATGAGGTTTATAAATTAGGCTCACTGAAACTAGTAATAATAGCTAGTAATAAAATAGGAAATTATAATGATATAAAAACTGATGAGTTAATTTTTCCTGGACATTTCTGCTTAATACTTTCAAGTATTGGAGAGTAACATGGGGCTGGGAACTATTTCTCTTGACTATCACCCATTATCACGCTTGTTTGTCTTTTCTTCTGAACTCAGGTTAGAGATGGCAAGATGAATTTGTTTAATTCTTCTGCCTCCCAAACTCCCACTGGAATGACCTAAGGCTATAAAACCAGGGCAAGGATGCGCCACCAGGGAAAATGGGGCAGGGGAGGTGCTTGTCATTTCTGGTACCCAGAGTATGGCCAAGATTTGAGAAGGAAGGCCTGTCCTGCCCAGGACTCGGTATCTGCTAAGGAACTAGCAAACGGGTAGGTAGAATTCTCGTCAACGCGCCCACCCACGGGGGTCTCAAACATCAGCACTTCTGGACAGCCGGACAGCAGGCACAGGGAGGCACGTGTGACCGTTGAGTTCAGAGCCACTGTCAGGACGCTGTACTAACTTACAAGCCTCAGTTCTGTCCTTTGTCAAATAGGGAGAAAGTCTACATCACAAGACGCAGTAAGGATGGGAAACAGTACGCGTCCAGAGACACAGCTGGAAGGTAACTGGTCCAGAGACACAGCTGCTAAGGGTTGGATGCAAGTCATTGCCAACCTGCAAGGAAGCCTTCGGAAAGTGGTCTCATTCTAATCAGGCAATGCCTCTAACGAGGCAACCAGAGTTCTGAAAGGGTGAGACACTTGTTCAAGGTTCATGCTGCTTCAGGTGGAGTAGGCTGATGCTCCAAGTCCTGAACCTAATTTGCTATTGTTTCTATGTGTCATCCCCCCCCCCCGCCCCCTCGCGCCGTCTTCTTTTGGCAGTTCCTCATGTACCTCAGGCACTTGTTTCTACTAAGTTTGGGGGGGGGTTATAGGCCTAAGCTGCCACACCCGGCTTCTCTTTTCAGCAGCGCTGGGTCTCAAACATGGGCCTTTTACACAACACAGTGTAATAACCACTCATACAGCATTGACTGTGCTAGCATTTTGTTTTCTAGAGGTAATTTCAAAGCACAAAGGACGACTACTCAGGTTTTATGCAAATACTGCATCCTGTTTTTCCTACTGAAAAAAAAAATCGTCTGTGTAGCTCATTCTGTCCTCAAACTTGTGACCCACCTGCCTCAGCCTCCTGAGTGTTGATTTCACAGGTACGCATCTCCATGTCCAGCACACAGCATTTTTAAATAAGGAGCTTAAACACATACAGAGGTCGGTAACCGTGGGGGGCTCTGGAATGGACCTCCTGTGAACACGCAGGGATCATTCTAGGACAGTCCTGCAACAGTTTTCTAAGCAGACATTTAGTTGAGGACAATAGAATTTGGGGCTCAAACCCACACTTAGATAAAAACACTCAAAAGTGAGCCTGGCTCAACTCAAGTCTCTCTCATTAGTAGCATTCTGCTGTTCTTTAATTGATAGTCTGTAGAGTATCATTCGGTTTATTATCTTTGGATTGGTTTTATTCCCACTAGATAAACGGGGCGGGGTGGGGTGGGTGGGGGTGGGTGGAGGGGAGACTTCAAACTGTGGTCCCAGACCCCGGGAGTTCTTTGATGAAGTGAATTACTGAGCGTGCAAGTGTTTCTAGACCACTGCATTTCTTTTCCAGTGGAACACCCAGAAAACACCGAACTCCCTCTGACACTACTTGAAAAACACAGCCCTTGGCCGGCCTACGTCACACACACCTCCCTGGCAGTCAGGCGGCTCATTGACAAGAGCCGAGTCCGCGAGCTGGAGTGCATGCGCGCAGCTGAGGAGAACCGCAAGTCCGTGAAACAGAGCAAAACCAGCTTCATGATGCTGAAAAGGAAGAAGTCCTCCAAGTTCTCGGAACTCGTGCTGAAGGATGCCCTGTCAGGATCCAGGCTATCCACGTGGGACCATTTCTCGGCAACAAACGTGAGTCCCATATTCTTCCCAGAACCCGAGCAACTGCAAATGGAAGCCAGAGAGGGTCCCACGTTCAACTACAACAAGATCATTTTCTCCAAGAGGCCTGCGACGAGGAAGCTCCCATATGGCTTGCTACAGGACAGCAAGGAGACAAATGCCAAAGGATAACCAAGAGCCAGCCCTGCAGCCGTCCCCTGAGGATGTACAACAGCCACCCTCCATTTGCTACAAATTACACCATGTCTTTGAAATGTGCGCTTGTTCACGTTTCTACACCGCTTGGCAGACAGAGACCTTATCAGAAAGTGGGCTCTGGGTGGGTGGGTGGGTAGACAACCCCAACACTGGAGTTGGTTGGGGTGGGGGTGGGGCTGCTGTAGGCCCAACTGCACGTGTTTGCCCACACCCAGACAGCAGACAGAAACCACAGCGGTGACTTTACCAGTCCATTTGATAGGCTCTTACACCCAGTGACTAAAGGGGCCAGAAAGGTAAGAGAATCCAGCTATCAACAGAGGAAGCTCCTGTGGGGAACCAGTGCGGTCCCTGGAGTCACCGGAAGTGAGAGGCCGGCAGCGGAAGAGGTGTGCAGGGAAGCTCAGACTTTCCCGGGTGGGCGAGGGGGTTTGGCCCAGCTTGTGTTAGGGACTCCGTGCTGAGGAGAGAGCCCCTGCAGGGTGGCATCCCCACCTCTGAGAAGGGGTTCCTCTTCCCCTGGTATCACATCTGTGAGGCTGGTTCAGGGAGTGGTAGAAAACTCAAAAATTGGATTCAAATGCTGGAAGGCATTGCCACTGCCTGGGTGGCAGGCAGGAAGGGATCCCAGGGGACGGGGACAGTGGGAACCATCAGGAAGCAGCGAGTGAGTTCTTTCTCCCCCCTCTAACAATGCAGACATCTGCTAGCGCCCTCTGTGGGCAGGGCGTGGTAGGGCATAAGGAGGAACTTGTCAGCTGATTCCCGGCCCTACCATCTCCCAGGCAGATGCAGTACAAGAGGATGATCTTTGAAGCCAACAGAAAATTAGCCCAGTGACTACCAGTGGGGTTCTAATGCCCCCTGTGGCTCCCGAGGCTGGTATTGGAGTGCTTTTCCCTTAGAGGGATTACAAAAATGGTGTGTGTGTGTGTGTGTGTGTGTGTGTGTGTGTGTGTGTGTGTGTGTAGTGTGTGTGCTGAGAAATGGAGGATTCTCCTCCATTTAAAAAAGAAGATATTTTTTACTTTACTGTGTGAACATGTATAAGTGTGCCATGGTGAGTGTGCCATGGTGCTTGTGCCGTGGCACACATGGGGAGATCTGAAGACAACTTCGGGGCAGTTGGTTCTCTCTTCCCCTCATGTGAGTCTCGGAGACTGGCCTCAGGTTGTCAGACTCAGCAGCAAGCATCTTCACCTACGGAGACATCTGGCTGACACTCTCTTGTACTCTGTTTTCTCTTGGGAAGCAGAACCGATGTGAATATGGGGGAATGATTAGGATTCAGGGGTGAGTTCCGGGCTGGACACTAGATGTCACTTGTCAGGTGACAGCTGGAAATGGCCCCACCCATGCTCTGAATTGGCTCCAAAGTAAGTAAATCCTCCTCGGTCACCAAGTCACCAAGCTTTGTCTTCAGGCGCAGACCGCCTCCTGTTTGGGTTTACCTGTTATCGTGGATGACCCTACCCAGACTTCGGTGTATTTTCATGGCAGCTAGTGCCCGTCTCCTCCAGCGCCAGGTGCACAGGGTGTGAGGTACTAACATTGCAACTGCCTTGTGAAAAAGCCCGGTTCTCCTTGCAACACATTTTCTCTTGACTGTAAACGCTTGGCATCACTCACAGGTGCAGGTGTTTAGTCTCTGGCTCCTGTGCAGGGTCTGTCTGAACACTAGTCAGTTAGAAGCTCCCAATCCAATCCTGGGGTCTTCACCCTCGGCCAGTATAAGTTCTGCCAAACCATAGCTATTTCCCCATGAATCTCAATAAGTACAGTTTGTGTCCTGGAGACACAAAAGAATTCTTCTAAGGGCAATTTTTATCTAAAGACTGTGATGTAGTGGTAATTACATCTGTAATTCAAGCACTCAGGAGACTGAGGCAGGAGAATGATGGGCTACATAGACCCCCGTCTCCAAATAAACAAGTTAAAAACAAAAAGCAACACAAAACCAAACCAAACCACAAAAACCTCTTTTATCCCTTCATGGGCATTTCTGCCCGGGTCCGTCTGGGAGAACGTGGGCCACAGCAACTCTTTAAATGTTAACAGGGGTCTGAGATCACTGTGATTATTTCTCCTAATTCCTTTAAGGACAAAGTGATGTGGCATTTCATAGGCATTTCAGGTTCGTTTTCTTTGTGTTTAATTCTTTAACCATGCACTCTATAGTAGTTGATTTTTAGCTACACAATTTAGCATAATTTCATTCTCAGTCCAGTGTAACAACATGAGCCAGGGATGTCATGCACAGCTTCTGCCCTGATGGAAAGGGCCTGAGCTTTGGGCATGCAATGTCTCACGGGGCAATTTTAAGACTGAAAAAAAAAATCAATTCCTTTTGAAATGGAGGACTCAGCTTAAGTCTAGGTTGGGGACACATGGGTCTGGCCACTTGCTATATTTACAGGAGAATTGGGGTTGCTGCTGGGAAAGAATTACCCCAGGGAGGAAACTGAGCAGGACTAGCTGGGTGTGTAAGGAAGCTTTGGCCACTGGGTGCAAGACAATCCTTACCCTCAGTGACTTACAGTGTGCCATGCTTTGATGTGTCCACTGGTTCAGACTTTGCTGAGGGCTGTGGGGATGAGGACCAGTGAGTCCTCCTCTGAGGATGGTTTGACTAAAGTCTCGGAGGCCCTGGAGTACTAAGACCAAGAGAAGATGTCTTTGGCTTCACAGCCCACCAGAACACAGGTTCCACTGTTCTAGGTACGGCCTTGAAATCTCCAGGTCTGGGAAAGCCCAGAACATACTTGTTGGGACCAGCTTTGTTCATGCCTAGTGTTTCCAGAAATAAACATGGATCCTTTCCAGGACCCTGACATCCATCCGGAGCAGGCAGGGCATGCATGAAGTGGAATGTGGATTATTTCCACGTAACCTTATCTGCTTGTTCAAACCAAGGAATCCCGGAGTATCTCAGGTTACTCTGAGCAAGCGAATGGCAATCTTGAAGAAGGAACTGGCTTTCTCTGATGCTGCACAAACTATAGCCTCTTCTCATTTAACTCCTCTGTACGAGGTATTTTTTTTTTCTTAGCAGAGTTTCTGCTGCAGAGGGTTTGCTTGCTTTTGTAGTCTGTGTCGAGCCAGAATGTGTACTTTGTCAGCCGTCTGTGTTGCTGGTAACTAAGGCCACATTCTGACACATTTCATTCAGCCGTTTTACACAGATTCCTTGGCTTCCTGGGCACAATGTGATATTTACCATTTGCGAATTCCAAACGGGTGTCAGTTGCTGTTTAACCTCTGCGGCCTAGCCGAGCCTCTGGTCAGTTTCACTTTGGACACCAAGCAGTTCTACATTCTGGAGCTTCCTTAACCGGGGGCCGGGGACTCATCTTGATGGAGATTAGGCTTGCTTCACTGATAAGAGGCTGCAGGAATCTTCAGGGCAACTTCCAGAGCAGAGGTCCTGATTATGGGTGTGGCAAAGCAGACATTTGGGGGTCACCTGAGATCTCTCTAACTGGAATGGGAGGTAGAGGCGGGACCTAAGCAGACATGATATATATGTTATGTGGCATGCTAAAGCGAGGCGGATGCGGCATGCTCAGCGCGCCTCCTCTTCTTTTGTGGTCCAGCATCCTTATGCAGGAGGGGTAACTATCATACAGTTTTGTAGCTTCCCTCTTTAGGATATGGAGAATATAACAGGCAGAACATAACTCAAGGCAGATGATTTCTGGGCCTTGCCAGGGCTCTTTCAAGGGATCTAAGCAGTCTTGGGAAGTAGAGGACCCAGCATAAGATAGAGACCAGGTCCCTGCACTGGAATCCCAATCAGCTACTGACCATGCATCTGTGGAGATAAAGAACAAGGCTTGCGCACCCCAGCACTCCAGCCACTCCCTCTGTGTGCCGGCAGCAGCAGTAAAAAGATTATAAAATGTTTTGTAAGCTGTGTCCAAGCAAACGGGTCCATCCACACCACACGGTTCTTTTCGGCTTTAACTCATGTTTCCCCCACCCCCACGCCCCGTGTATGTACAGACCAAAGGGCACATTTTTAGAGGCCCCAAGTTATCTGTGGCAGAGAGAACATAGACTGAGAAAGCCACAGAAAGGGTGTTGGGGAAGGGAAGTAAACAGAAACCTGATTGGAGCTCAAAGCTGAGTTTCTGTTTGTTGAAAAAATCTCTTCCTACCTCCTATTCCTCCCTGGCCCATATCCCTTATCTGAGGGACCCAGGGCCTCAGTCAACTTCTTGGAAATCACAGGGTGACATTGCTAAACCTGTAGGGCATAGCTGGGTTCTTGGGAAGAGCCAGGAGGCAGTACAGGGCACCTGCATTACCGTGTCCTCCCGGGGCCCTGACGCTTGGCGCACATTGGTAGGATTCCTGGCAGCGCACTGCAAGCATGGAACAAGAGAAAAAGTTAAGTGTGAAGTTATGTCCCTTCTGGTAAAGGCCACAGAAGGAAGGTACACCTGGAATTACATCACCCCATATTCTATGCCACCCCACATTCAGGGCCTCACGCTAACCGTGACTGGTTTCTCCATGCCACAGGGTGAGAAGTGTAGACGTGCAGCTACCTCCTGTGGGTACACAAGCCAAGTGCAGGACCTTAACTTTATATTCCAGAGGCAATAAAAATTTCTACCCCCGCCTCTGGCGTTTCTAGGCAGTTCTTTCACCGAGGGCCCAGATCAGCTTACGTAAGGCATGCATCCACTTCCTGTCTGTGTTCAGTTTTTTCAGCGACCCAGAGCAACCCATGAGTTTTAGTAGATAGAGGGACCCGAGAAGGCCCAGAATTTCAGACAAGTTGGGAACTTGACTCCTGGCACTGTTTCTGCAGACGTGCCAAATGGGCGTGCTCTTCGTAGAGAACAGTTGATTCGAGAGCCAGCTGCGGCTGGGGGGAAACCGGCCTCAGTGTGGCTGACTGTTCCCACTTTCATCGGAACCTGTCTGTATCCATTTTACTGTTCCGAATCCCGGGGCATGCTCACCTGGGTAAGTGGGTGATGACTGAAGCAGGAGGCCCTTGACTGGCCCCCCAGCCCTTCGACACCCAGCGTGGAGTCACTTCTGTAGT